GTTACTCGTGCTAGGCTCACTTAAACTATAACTGAGCCGTGAGTTTGAGTGAGTACAGCTGAGTAATATTACATGAGTTTGAACAGTGAGTCTGGCTAAGGGAAATTTTAGTGAGCTTGAATACGATTGAGTAAAATATTTGCGAATCTGAGGTGGTGAGCGCTAAGCTCAACGTGTATTTCTTGGGTGAGCCTTAGTGAGCACCACCTTTTACTTCTAACCTATGTTCGTATATACCCGCCTATCAGCATTATTATCGACGTCATATTTGCTTACATTGGTAATCAAGTCTGTTCAAGCATACGTCAACACACAACCGCTCATGCGGGTATTGAACAGACGCGCAAGTTAGGAGATAAGAGGGTCGCCAAGGCCTCCCTTCACAATTTCGCTCGCGGGACATTCATGGTGAATATTTCTGAGGTGAGCTGCATATGCAGACTTTGGGCTCGACACCGCATTGATAATGTCTCGTTTACGACCCATGTTCTTGCAGGTTGCTCTCACCTGGGCGTTCTGTTCTGGTCTACCCGGCAATTCCCGATCTGCAGCTGATTCACCATCTTTCGACGAGCCTTCATTCCGTCTAGGTGTGAATAAAATGGTCCACTTCAGCGAGAAGCCAACGGCTACTACAGCCACTTGGCCCTTGTGTCTCGACGGCATTGGCTCTGGCCGACTAACTACCGTTTCACTCGACCTGAAAGAGCCGCCTCGAAAGCGACCAATGCCAAATCTGGGTGCTACAGGCTACTTTGTCGAGCAACGGAAATCGACAACAGCGACAGTGGAAGTGCGCGCCACGGGATATAAATGCCAGTTTGCTGCCTCGCACTTTGGGCTCGACACCGCATCGAGAATGTCTCGCTTACAACCCATGTTCTTGCAGGTCAGTTATCTCAATCATGCTACCAGCATAAAAAGCAGCAATTATTGTCTTCTCGCACTGACGTGCCCACCAGAGTGTAGTGATCTAGTGAAACTGGTGTCATTTTGTCTGTCTTTTGCATGTTGTACTTGGTCCGACCTTTTGTTGTTGCTTGCGGGTGACGTTGAGGTAAATCCAAGGCCTATGTCAAAGGCGGAGGCTGACGCATTCGCCCAGGCACTGAAAACTGTACGGGAACTCAAAGATAATTACGCTGCTTTGGTAACGCAACATAATACAGTCCTCGACAAAATGAAGCAACTAAGGCTAAAGGTCGATGCGTTAGAAAAGGTTCAGGCCACTGGAATTGCGGCTAAGGACAGTACCGAACCAGCTCTTCGCGATATGTCTGAAAAGCTGAAGTCAACTGTGCATGAGATTAAGCGCCTAAGTACAAAAGTGGTATCACTTGAAGAGGCACAGTCTTCGGCAGATATGAGTTCTAAGGCCACACCTGCAGACACATTGCGAGGATTTACGGATCAACCTACATCAATATCTTCACGATGTGATGAAGCGGAAAATAGGATGCGTCGATCGAACCTACTATTTTTCGGTTAGGAAGACAATGCTAATGAGGATTGGGCAGCTTCTGAACAGAAAATTATTAGGTTTTGTTCTGAAAAATTGCAGCTTACACTCACTGGTACTCAGTTTGAAAGGGTTCATAGATTGGGTAAACATGATAAAGAAAAGTGTCGACCAATCACTGCCAAACATACCTTTTTCAAAGATAAGGACCAAATCTTGTCGCGTGCCCGAAATCTGAAAGGCACTACGTTTTCAATACGCGAAGATTTTTCATTGGCAACGCGACAGACCCACAGAAAGCTAATATAATTTGCCAGAACTCAAAATAAACCATTTAGGCTTGTAGTGGACAAGCTGCGCATAGAAAACGTTATTTACGTCTATGACGCCGTCTCTAAGTCACGCTCAGGCAGATAGCTAGAAGGAAACGTACAAACGTTTAGGAAGCCGGAGCTGCATAAGCCTTGCACTCCTCTATCACTAACAGTATCATTCACTAATATTAGAAGCATCTTATCCAAATGTGAAATAGTGTCATCTTATATCGATGATAGCCTTTCTGATATTCTTGTCTTCACTGAGACATGGCTTAACGCTGACATCAATGACAATGAGATTTTTACGCATGCTAACAGATACAACGTCTATCGAAGTGATCGTCCAGACAGGAGGGGGGGGGGGGTTCTTATAGCAGTTAAAAAAATCATCACGTCTTATGTCGTCACTTCCCATTATAAGATTGAAATTATATGGGTAGTTTGCACACTTCATTCCACAAGGATGTTGCTCGGCAGCTGTTATCGTCCTCCCGATTGTCATCATTCTTTCTTAGAAGAGTTACGCAGCAGCATTAATTTTGCCATCGAAATCTGTGAGGCTCGCATTGTTTATTTATTCGGTGGTTTCAATCTATCATTTATTGACTGGGAGCAGCTGTCATCTTCTTGTAAGTACTCAACTGACTTCATAACTTGACTTTAGACTTTCATTTGGCTCAGGTTGTCACTCACTCAACTCGCGGTTCAAATACACTTGACCTCGTTCTTACAACTGCACCTGAAACTATAGACCACATAAACTATTTGAAAGGCTTTAGTGACCACAAACTGCTTCAAGTTAATCTTTCTATCTTGCCACAATTTGCAGGAACCGAATCAAAGAAAATTAGAGATTATAATAAAGCCGATTACGATGCCATTAACAGGAAACTTGAGTCTTTCCTTGACAATGTGCTGCTGCCTTCCTTTTACAGTCGCTCAGTTGAGGAAAACTGGGTTCTTTTCAAGAATTCGATTTCAGCCCTTATAGAAAAACATGTGTCGTTGATAACGATTACGAATGATAAAACTAATCCATGGTTCACCAAGTCTTTGCGCAGACTTGGAAACAAAAAGAAGCGGCTTTATCGGTCTGCAACAAATTCGCGTTTACACACGTCTTGGGATAGATACGAGGAATGCCTAAAGAAATATTGCCACGAAATTACAACTGCGAAAAATAAATACTATTCCCAGGATTTGCCTTCACTTCTGAAATCTAATGCGAAAAAATTCTGGAAAGTAATAAGTCCTGATCGGGACGATAACTTCATTTCATTACACGATGCATATAACACTCCTTTTGCCGAGACTGATTGTCCTCATGTCTTTAATTAATTCTTTTCATCCGTGTTTACTAGCGAGCTTGCTCATCTTCCAGAAATTGTTGAACACGATTACTCATTCATGTCACCTATAAATATCACAATTGAAGGCATAGTTAAAATTATTGAAAATCTGAAGATGTCATCATCTTCTGGTATTGACGATATAAATTCAAAAATATTAAAGAACACTGTTCATGGGTCTGGCAATATCCTGTTTCACATTTTTCGGCAGTCGCTCGTTACAGGAATGTTGCCTTCCGACTGGAAGATAGCGAAGGTAGTGCCAGTTCATAAAAGTGGTAGTAAAATTTCACCTGGAAATTATCGCCCCATTTCCTTGACGTGCATATGTTGCAAGATGCTTGAGCATATCATAGCTTCTAACATTTATGCGCATCTAGAATCTAACAATTTCTTTTTCTCAAACCAGCACGGGTTCCGAAAGGGTCGTTCTTGCGAAACTCAACTCTGAGTTCACCACCGACCTACATTCTAACATGAACAGTAATCTACAGACAGATTGTTTATTTCTTGATTTTGCAAAGGCATTCGATCATGTTGCTCATTGTCCCTTGACATTAAAACTGTCATCACTAAAACTTGATTCACTCACGCTAACATGGCTCAGAAACTTCCTAATTAACCGCCAACAATTCATATCGCCAACAATCACTCTTCATAACTCTGTTACGTTTCCTCTGGTGTACCACAGGGCGGTGTTCTTGGTTCCTTACTTTTCCTCATCTACATTACCGACCTGCCTGACAACTTATCCTCATGTATGCGTATATTTGCCCATGACAGCATTATCTATCGTCCCATCCGAAACAATAGCGATCATCTAACTCTTCAAAAAGACCTCGAGCATATAATTGAGTGGTGCAAAACATGGCTGATGACACTTAATGTTTCCAAATGTAAACTAATCACCTTTAGTCGCAAACGTGATAACTTTAATAGCCAATACAAAATTGATAATAGCATTGTAGAACGCGCTGATCATTACAGATACCTAGGCATAAACTTAACTCCTACACTTTCGTGGTCCACACATATCACTTCTATCTGTGCATACACATCAAGATCATTAGGTTTTCTGGGCCAAAATCTATACAGTGCTCCCTCCGATGTGCGCAAACTGGCTTATCTTGCTCTAATCCGTCCTCAACTGGAGTTCGCATCCTCCATTTGGTCACCATATCAACAATACCTCATAGATAAGTACGAATGTATACAGAACAGAGCTAGTCAATTCATAGCGCGTAATCACAGTTACCCGTCCAGCGTAACACAGATTAAACATATCCTTGCACTCGAGCCACTGAAAATTCGCCGCGACATCTCACTTTTATCACTATTTCACAAACTCATCCACACCAGCATGATGCCATCTGTTCACCTTAATCTAGCACATCGAACTTCGAGCAGACTACATGTAGGACCGCGGTAAGAATTCGTAGCGCGGCAATTTTTGTGTGCTTTTATTTGCTTTGCGGCGTAAGCTTGGGACGGCATGTCAGCCGCGGGCAGCCAGCGTTGCTTGAGTGACAGGCGGTCGAAGCGCGACTAACCGGTTTTGCCGCGAGCGCAGACACACGGCGCCAGCATATTACACTGCTTTGTTCAACGCCAGAGATGGTCGAGCGTTTCCAATTACTACTAACTCAAGGAAAAGGGAACCAACCGGGGCAACGAAAGGGGTGAGATTATAAACGTCGGTGTGACGGCCCCCTAATTGCCTCTCAGAACGGGCAGTCGGCGCATCAACGGGCCTCTTCCGAGACCCCGCGCACCGCGGTGACTCCTCGCATCGGTTTGGCGTATGGCCCGGCCGCGCATTTGTAATCTGCAGTAGGTTCAACGCATGGCAACCGCAGCGGCGCGCTATTGGTCACACTCTCGCAGGGACGCCGCCACGACGTGCGCCTAGCAACGGCCTCCGCGCCGTACTCTCGTTTCCAGGTTGCGCCGTCGCCCTGTTGCGCCCGCGAAACACGCCGGCCAAACATGGAGGAAAAAACAACTCAGTGCGCGCCACGGAGAAACTTCCTCTGTGGTGCGCGCCGACTGCGCATTTTTACGTGCGGCATGTTCGGCGCCTGCGCGTTGTCGCCACTTCAAGAAAGCCAATATGGGGAAAACACGACGCTCCGTGCACCTTTGTTTCTGGTAGGAGCAGCTCGGAAAGAGTTGCAAGTTTAGTTTGACTGTGATGCTACTAAGGTACTGTACCACCGAACATTAGGGCTTATGATCTGCCCTGCCCGTCCGTCGAGATGTCTAAGCGCGTTTGGACGCCATCGAGGAACGACGAGGTACCACACATCACGAAGTGGAAGTATTGTAAGAAAAAGGAAAATGAAAAAGAAATACTGTGTTCTGGGCGCCTTCTGCACGCAAACTTCTGCTTTGTCGTAAGCACTTGGGTTTCGCGTACGTGTTCGTCAACTACAAGCAACCGCATGCGAGTGCCCGCGCGATCTGCAGAAACTCGCATTTATCTGGTGAGTTCAAGCTACGTTTGCGTAACGCGCTTGTGCTCTCTTGCTGTGAACTTTTTTTTTTTTTTTGAAGTAAACGCCCGGCGTCATAATCCAGGCCAGCGTTCTTTTCTTCTCTAGGAATGAACTTTTCTTATGTATGCGCTGGTGTGAAGCCAATAAAACAAGTGCGAGAGAGGCGGCAAGCCGCTTGAAGAGCTCTGTTCAAAGGATCCTTCACAGGATGGTCGACATTCTCCTCGCCATGAGTCTATCTGACAGAACGACTGTCCAGTGAATTAAGGATGGTAGGTGCGCAAAGTATTCTTTTTTAAAAACAATTTGTACCCCAGGAAGTTTTGTACTAAAAGTGTATTACTGCATGTATGCATTAAAGTGCAAACTGCATGAACTGAAACTCCTTCCAACGAAAGCTTTAAATTTTAAGCGATCTGTAGCTATGAAGGCAATTATTCAGCATCTGTATTAGAAGATTAAGCAAAAATATTTATCCTATAATATTCAAAATAACATCACTTTCAATAAAACTTCCAAAAGTATGTCAACAAAGCTGAGCCATTTGCTTCACGATATGCAGCACATCCTTCTATGTTGCTTCTTACTCAGACTTTTAAAGATCGCGCGGTGTTGCGAAATACACACATCGGTTTTAGCAAGCGGTTTTCAGCAATGAGCGTCCTAATATAAAACAGTTTTGGCAGCTTAAAGGAAACAATATGCCAGCTTGTTTGCCTTAAGTGCCACACCGTGTTGTGGCTGTTTTCTATTGCCTCTGATGCTTCATAACTTATGCATTAATTTTTCTGACTAGGAGTACACCCAGGTGGAATGGTAATAGCGCACTAAAAATGAAGACACACAGAAGGCATACACACACACACACACTTTTGGAGTAGGAAGACCTAGATAATGGTGGTCCAGCACGGTGTGCCCAATGGAACCAATAATCTTGTACCAGTGATATGCCTAACAATGTTGAAGATTTTATGAGCGGCTTGGGAGAAATAGAGCAGAAAGGTGCTGAAAGCTAACACTAATGAAAATAGCAGATGTAATTAAAATAAATACTTTCATTTGTAACTGGCTATTTTTTTACATATGGTGCATATTTATTCACTTCAAACAGTAAATATCATTGACAATAAGCAAAACAGTGTGCCACAAACAGATATTTCTTCATATACAAAACCTGTGCTTTTAGTAACTCACTCAATGCATCTTCCAGTCTCTCAGATGTTTGATTGCTTTTTGCTCACCTTGGGTAAGTTAGTGGCATGCTTGAGCAGCTTTTCTTTTTATGTTAGAAAGCCTTTTAAAAGCAAAGCATTTCTTTAAAGAACAAAGGCACTTTGAGCATTTATATCTATCTAGAGGCCTGCATCTGGCTGTTATCGAGCTCACCTCCTTAACTTGGTGAAACTTAACTGAAAAAGGCACAGCGGGGAATGACAATATGACGAACATGACTGTCTGGTTATGACATGTACGGTATACAATGAGTGTCCTGTTATGTACGTCATGAAACCCTTTTCTCCAGTCACAGGCAGCATAAGCCGGTACACTGTGGTTTGCGTTGCACGTGATGACAGTTTATAAATATTGGCAAGTTAAATTTGAGCAATTTAAATAAAATCTGGCTTTGGCAGCATTGACCAAAATAATACAAAGAATGACAATTGGGCTACTAGCAGGAATCAAAATCCGGTATTCTGCACAGCAGTCAAGTATTTTACCACAGAGCCACGGCATGTCTTGAGACGGCTTTTGAAAAAAGGTTCTATGCAGGCATCATATCAGTGTAATGTTAACTATGGCTGTAGGGCCGGCACTGTAGTCTGATTAAAAGGTAGTAAACTTGACATATGTGTACTTAAAATACAGCTGTCATGTTGGGTTAATGCCAATTGTGGTTCCGGGGTGGCCTCCACTTTTGCAAGTCATAATAAACATTTCATATGACTCGGTAAGCTACATTCAAGTGTTGCTCGACCACGTAGGAATATGCTAATGAACAATCTTCACATTGTCGTACCATAGCATGCACTTTGTTGTGATGAAACTGGCAGCTGTGCTGTAAGATTAGTGCCGATGTGTCAGACCATAAGTTACCCTCTGAACTCCTGTGTAGTAAACGTTTTTGGTAAGTCCTTGATGAGCACGAAACTGCTAGATTTATCAAAACACATTCATTCATGCAATGACACTTGGCTCAATGCCAAATATTGTATCATAGGCATCATCATTATGGACTACTTTGCATGAAATAGATTGCCACAATGTGTGAAATCTTAATTTTCCTTCCCGAGTTCCTTTCTGTATTTTTTTTTCTTCGTGTTTAACCACCTCTGTTTCTCATGTGCAGTTCTTGATTATTTTTTTAACTTTCGAAAGAGCTCCAGTCAACGAAAAACAATCTCATTTTATTGTACTCTTACAATTGATACAGTGTTGGCTTTAACAGTTAGTAGAAGGAAACAACAGCCTTGTTATATACATTGCTATATCTTTCACTACACTAGCCTGTTCATTGTTAGTGTTTTCTCATCATTGCAGACAAAAGACATCAGTAATAGAAGGCATATTTAAGACAACGCATAGCACTGTGATGTCTTGAATGTGGCTTCTTTTGTTGATGTCCTTTGTTTGCACTACCATCAATTGTCATGCTACCATGCCAACTAGCCCAAATCACCATCCTCACAAATCATAGTATATGCATAGTGAACCACAATTCCCATTTCAGAACACTTGAAATAATGTAGCACAAGATTTATCAAAGCACTCGCTGCATGTGTATGCGCTTCATTTAGATGTAGAGTGCATCAGATCTTGTACTGGCATCAATGTCTTTTCTTGTCACCTGCAGTATCATCCCTCTCGTTTGGGTCGGCCTAATATGCTCCACGAAGGAGGGCACTTTATGCTAATGAGCTCCAACTTCTTAGCACTACCTTGCTTTGTGCATTGTTTCAAGTCATGGATTTATATAACAGGGTAGCAACAATCACAACTGTGCATATTTTTGATAGTTGACAGTACTCATAACAAACAATCAAAACCCTCAAAAGCTTCTACCTAACAAGTTACAAATTTGTGAGGAGGGAATGCAACTAGCACTTCCAATATTGCATTAATAATGGTACTATTGACAACAAATGAAGAAAACAAAGCACAAAGCCATCAAAAGTGTTTACAAGATTCATATTACATCCTTTAAAAAATTAACTATGAAATAATGCGGCAACTTGGCATGCTATTGTGCTGCTATCATTTGGGAATCCCATACTGGCACTCTTTGACAGGAATATACACATTTCTGTGGAAACATCCCTACATCGATCACTTGAATTTCACGCTTTATAAATTGCTCATGATTTTAAAGGAAAAGTTATGAGGATATGATAACAGCTGATAGTTTTTGCATAGCTGTCTACCGCTGGCATGCACAATAAGGAAAGAAATGTTTAAGATTGTGTGCGATTTTAATCTGGGCAATCCACGTGGCAGTCAAGTGTTTTACTACAGGGCCATGCTTGTGCTTGAAGCTACTTTTCAAAAATATCCAAATCAGGTGTCGTATAAGGTAAGGAACCACATCAACACAGGTTATATAGTGTGCTAGAGGAATAAGACAACAAAATGCCATACATGGCAAGTTACTTAACAAGTGGGTGATTAAAGCTGCCCAACCATTACAAATGGCTCAGCCATAATTTTGTCATCAGCTAGAGCATCAACAAAGTGCATATAATGCCTCTTCAGTGTGTATTGTACCTCGCTTCTCCTTAAAATCATTACGTAGAACGTATTTCTTACGTTGCAAAACACAGATTTATTGCATGCGTTTTTCTGTTTCTTGATGACTAATAAAAGTGGACAATTTAATAATTAAGAATAACTGTTCATTCTACCAGATGCCATAATTTCTAGTATGAATCCAGGTACTCAAGATCAAATCATCTGCCCGAGTCTTGGCCAATTCCCCTGGGTGGCTTGGTTCCAATCATCTAAGGAGCATAATTATCAAGATTAACATATGTATTATTTCAAGTACCACATATTTTGCTACACCCGTGTAACTTCTTGCCACAGTCACATTTTTCTGAACCAAGTGCGTCAGAAAATTGGGAAATTTCAACTCGTTTTTCTGACCCAAGGTAGCTGCCATTTTGTTTATCCCCACATGTGTACGAGCACTCATGAAACTTGAAACGACTCCCACAAGTTGCATACATATACGAAATGTGTTAAAAAAATAATGTTTTTCACACTTTCACTGCTTGTGGTACAACATTTGAAGCATTGCTTCCCTCAAACTACTCCCCTCTACTGGCAATACAGTGTCGCAATCATTTCTTCCATTTTTGGTAAGCTTCCTGGAACGCACTGATGGCCTGGAAGTATCTTCTTGTATTGTCCAGGACCTTCTGTATTGTTTGGAAATGGCATCTGTCAATGAAGTTTATGTTTGGAATAAAGAAAATAAAGTGAAATTTCATGACATTAACCTATTCTAACACCCACTTCGTCAGCAATTTCTCCAACAGTCAATAGAGATATCCTCAAATCACTGCACGAACTCTTAACGTGGTTATTATCTGTTTATGTACAATGTCGTCCAGGCTTGACATCGTTATCGATCTACATTATGTCATTATCAGAATGCTTGAACCACTCATAGCACTGAGTACAACTTCTATAATGCTCCCCGTATGCTTCATAAAGCAACCAAATCTTTATGTGAAAGTTTTCCCAAATTTTAGCTGTACTTCACACACACACACATCATTCTTCCAGCTCTTTGCCATTTGGGCACTAATTCAAAGAAAATCTAGTCCATGTACTCACTTTAGCGGCTGTAGCGTGCAAACCAAAGGTCAGAGTGAAACAGGGCTAATGACAGTTCTGGTTGAAACTTGCCACTATGTGGAATTAGTAGCTGCAGCCCGCTCCTTCTGGTAGTTGGCGAGCTATCAGAAAAGTTCGATACTTTTTACAGCGAAAGCTGTTATGTCATCACAACTCGGGTCACGTGCAGTTGTCCGCCACTGCCATCGGTGTCCTTAACCACATCGCTCGAAATTAAACCTACCACCGATGACACAGTAGGGCTCGAACCTGGGTCCGCTGGGTGCCAGCCCAGTATTCCACCACTGAGCCACGCCGGTGCTTAGGACATGTTGGCAAACTTGCCTTAGGAAGGCTTAATGTCGGAAAAGCAATCCCGTTAATACGACTTACAAAGCGTTTTAAAACAGCAAAAGAACAACCAGTCGCCGCACAATGC